AATGCGAGAAAAGATTTAATTATTTTACAATTAAAAGTCCGAATATGTAATTTTTATCAATTTCGTCAGACAAAAAATATATTACACATGTACCTACATATATTGTGTTTTTATGGACTGGTTTTTGATGCAAAGTAAGGATAGTTATTAGTAAATGATTTGTAGGGTAAGGTTAACAGTTGATTTAACTTGTCTGTAGAAAATCAAACTTTTAGTTTCTACATAGAGTTATCCAGGTCTTCACACACTCCTTGGCAAATTGTTAACACAATGTTTGTCGGTAAAGTGTCCTGTTGGTAAAGTGATTGTCGGTAAAGTGGGTGTTAGTAAAGTGACCGGGTCCCATATAGACATGTCCATGTACAACACCGATTGCTATCAACATTAATATAATTCCTAAAAAACGACTAAACATAGGTCAAAGGAAGTGTGAATTGTTGATCCATGAATTAATTTGATGAAGTCACAATACATCTTTGGATGAAATCAGCGAGTGATGAATTTAGTTGTAATCCCTTTGATTGGTTGAGTTATAAAAAAAACCAAATATCCCATCCTTGCAAAACTTGCTCCAAATGAAAGATTGTTAGTATCTTTTGTGGGTTCACCTTGGAATTGTATTTTTGTGGAATATTTGTTATTGTTTTTATTAGAAAATTTATTTAACTATGTATCAAAAGTATGGCGTATCCAGAGCTCTAAGAAGACTTACAAAATTTTCTGGTAATATTAGTCGCTTCATTTCTTCAAAAAAAAAATTAATAAGTTTATTATTTTAATTTAATTTAAATTTGGAATATGTTGCACTTTAATATTAATTTACTTGTTTAACCACACTTCGAATCACCCCTTCGACTGGATTTACTGGATTCATTTAATACTGAGTGATGTGTCGATCGAGCGATATATGGGATTTACGTTTACTACTCTGTACACCTAAAATATAGTCACAAATAATTAGGTTATTTATAATGGGTTTGTTTTTCGCTCGTTAGTGTTAATTGCACAAAACTTTAATTAATTAATAATACAGAGGGTGTTCAAGTTGATTGTATGAATAGTAGCAAAAGTTAAATTTGAAGAGTGCAAGAAGGTATTTTATACATCTTCGCCTTATTGTCATTCTTTATTTTTGTTGGAAATCAAATATAAATTCAATGGTGTATAATGTAAAGAATAATCGACACAGAGGAAGCAAAACATAGTTGTATTACAGATGACAATCAAAAAATGTTTTTGTTATTGTTTGACAACAGTAATGTATAAATTAAATCTTAATTCTTTCAAAAACATTTGAAGTTCCTTTTAATTATTTGCTTAGAATAAAATAATTATGGGTCTGAATTTCAAAGATGGCAA